GACCCCCGCCCGGAAAGCGCCGCGCCGGCCGGTGTCCGCCCCCCCGCCGGCCCCGGCACAAACCCGCATTTCTGGCAACGCAATCCCTCGGGCCACCGCTCCCGCAGCTGCCAAGCTCCTTCCTTACCGGCAGAACAGCCTGCGCACAAGTCCGATGGGCGCTCCTGCTGCCGGGGGTGATGACCCACTTGGCAGAGATGGATTTTGGCACCTCGGTCGCCTTGCAGAAAGGACAGCAGCTCTTTTTTGAACCTGCAGACCTTACATCCCTAAAGGCTCCAGAACACCCGCGATTAGTGAACAGGAACAAAATACCACCCACCCCCACCCCCCCAATGCGGCATTCGCTCTCGCTGCCACCTTGACAAACAGCCAAGAAGCATCCACCCAGCTCCTCGCTCCAGGAGCAGCGTCTCCACGGGAGAGGGATGTATGGCTCTTTCGCGTCAGGAGGGAGAGGCCCCATGTGCTTGACCTGTCTGGTGCTCCAGGGGAAGCAGGGATTGAGGCTGGGCATCCCGGTGCTGTGGCTGGTGTAGCACCAGTGTTATGGTTTGAGAAACCCACAACAATTTACTGTCGTTTAGACAATTATTCTCTCACCCAATGAACCCTCCCCACCCGTGAAGGGGAAGTGGGAAGAAACAAGGAAACATGAGTGTTGAACTATAAATACATCTAATAGGATAAGACTAAATAATTAACATTAATAACACTAAAGAACCAATATTGCTCCCAATACCAATATAAAATGCACAAGGATTATCCTCAGCCCATTCTATCTGTAGGAAGCTGTGCACTCCCAGCAGGGACAGCAAGTGTGGGACACTGCGAGCGCTGCAGCTTCGGGAGGAAGGGAAGGGCTCAGGGATCTGGCACTAGGGCAAGAGGTTCTCAGGATGGCAGCCACCGAGAGAGAGAGAACTCCTCAGCAAACTTTCTAATTTATATTGAATGTGCCATTCATGGTATGAAATAACCCTGTTGGCCAGCTTGGGTCAAGTGCCCGGGTCTTACTCATCCTCATTCCCACACCTGGAGAGCTCAAAAACACTGAGACCTTGAAACCCACACACCATAGCTGGCTATAAAGTAAATATTTTCACCAACTCAGACACTAGAGTCTTCTAAAAGTGCAGTTTTCCCAGATATTAGAAGAGAAATTAGTCCTGTGTTGCTCGAACCAGGAAAACCAGCAGCCACCAGCCAGCAGGAGCTGGTGGACATGGAGGTGGACATGGACCCAAAGGAGCCATGGACATGGAGAAAAGAGGAAAAAAAATGATCAGTGTTGACAAATGCAAGAGAAACAGGATTTGGATCATATCTCTTACAAACTTAGTATGAACTGGCATCATTAAGAGAACGGGTTTCTCAAATTTATGCCAAAATTTGCTATGTCTGTTAGATCCAACAGCACGCTAGCCCTAGTGAAAGGGGCTTCCCTCCTCTGCAAACTGCCTCCGTCAGATGGTGCATTGCAAGAAAGCAGACAGCAAAGCCCTGGTGTCACCATTCACACATCACAGGCACCGCGACTCACTCGAGGAACCCTGGGCAGCCACGTGCTGGCAAGTCCAGAGCCCTTTTCCTGATTTGACACTTATGATGCTGAGAGAAGGGACATCAGGGAGTGAGCGTGCCGGAGAAGGGTGACGGTCAGAAAGAGCAATTAGCCACTGTCTGGGTGCTCAGGTTGTGAGGCTGCCTTGTGCCACAGTCATGTCCCTGTGCCACAGACACGTCCCTGTGCCATGTGCCAAGGGGTGATTTCCTTTAGCTCTGAGCTGGTTTCAAAGGGAGAGTGTGGAAGATGCTTGGCCCTCAAGCCCTCCCATTCACCGCGGCCCTTGCTGTGCCCTCGCCATCGGATTCCCTGCCCAGACTGGACACTGGGACTCCATCCCGGGTGTCTTCAGCCCCTTGGTCCTACAGGCTTCTGAGCCCATTCTCTCCACTCTTCTTCTCCTCTCTGGAGTTCCTCAGCCCTGTCAGACCCAGGCTGCCGTGTCAATCACAGCAGCCCCTGCAGACCACCACTGGGCTTTTCTCTATCATGGACCTGCTATGTCTGGTCTCCTCTGTGCCATGGCTGGGCTGTTCACAGCCTGCTTTTCTTTAAACCATTTCCTTTCATATATTTCCCGGCCCTGTCCTACCTGTTCTGAGATCTCTGCTTAGCTTTGCTGTGTTTGACTAATAACGTTCACACCTGCGCAGGATACAGGGAGAAGGAACTGGCGCATCATCCCTCCCCTTTCTGCTCCAGAAACAAGGCAGTAAATGTGATGCTGCTCAGCTCTGGTAGCATCAGCACATGGGCTGTTTCGCTCAGCAAAGGCTAAATCTGCAGGAAAATGAGGTTTTCCCTAGGTTCCTCCCACATCTCTGGGCTTGCTGGAACAGGCAGGAATAATAGGGAGAATTCAAAAGGACCTTGATGTCTCTTGTCCCATTTCCCTGCCTGGCAGGTCTAGTCCACCCAGAAAGCGATTCGGAGATACCAGAAACAGTTCCTGTCATCGTCTGTGTCTGATGGTTCAGCCGAAATACTCTCGCTCCTCCATGTGGAGCTTTCTGCTCTGGCAACAGGGAGCTGGGACACAGCTGCCCAGTGCAGCTCTGGTCTTGCTACGCTATCCATAGCAAAGTGCCCTCAAGAGGCTGCCATGAGACAGGCCAATGTTTTCTGCCTTGGCATGGTTGGGTGAATGAGGTCAGGAAGATTTTGAAAATTCTTGGAAAAGGCTTTTTCAGGCTTTGTTTGGTGTTTTTTTTTTTTTTTTGTGGTTTTATTTGTTTGTTTTGGTGGGGCTTTTTTTCCCCTCTCACTGAATAGTTTATCTTGGGGCCAGCCCAGGTTCTTCTGGTTTGCAGGGCCATCTTTATTTTTTTTTAATATAAGGAATGTAGTAATTCAGTTCTCCTTCTTCTAAGCTACTGGGAAGTACCAGCTGCCATTCAAGCCTGGTCCATCCCACCCTCAGTGGCCTGCAGGCACTGGTGGTGACACTCACACTCTGGTGTGGTGGCACCCAACGCACCGGTGCCTCTCTCTGGGGAAGGCACGGGGAATCTGATGTCCTCTGGAAGGCTGGTGGCAGCCCAGCATGTCCCACCAACCAGTGTTGCCTCCCCTGGGAGGAGAGGTCACAGCAGAGCACTGGGGGAACAGGGTGCTGGTGGTGGAGACTGGGGCACCTTCCTACATGACACTGACCTTCTATGGGTGATGATGGGAGACTGTGGCAGTAGATTAAGCCCCATGCTGACTTCAGCAGCACGTAGGTGTTCATATGGGAACCTTCACTCTGCAGAGGACACACTGTGATTGCAGCCATGAGGTTGTCTCCCAATGACCACGTTCAAGCAGATGCTGTGAGACATGACTGCTGTGATCTCCTGGGGGAGAGCAAGGTCTGGTGGAGAACCAGATGCATGTCTGTGGGCTCAGTGCATGCATGCTGCTGCCTGGCACATAGACCAGCCAGCATGGCACAGCCTGCTTCTACCTATTGCGCTGCTGGCCAAAACAGTGCTGCAGCCAAAGCGAGCTGTTCCCCCTGCCAGCACAGGTTTCCAGACTATACCCAGGAACGGTTGGTTGGGGCTTGGTTAAAATCAGACCAGAAGCTGCTCAAATAACAGTCCAGATGCCATGTTGTGGTGCTCCCCATCACTGTCCAATTAATTAAGTGCAATCGGTGTTAACCCCTTCTTTCAGCCCTAAAGCTGAAGGGGTGCAGGGAATCACTTCCAGTGGGGTACCAAAGTGTCAACCCAGAAATGCATCTGTCCCCAGGAAACCTCTGGGCAGAGGCTAAAAACAGCAAAGGAAGTGAGGTTGGGGAAATGCAGCATTTTCCCTCGGTGAAGGGCTATCTCATTTGATTTCCCCAGCTCTGAGATGCCATCCTGTTTTCCATCTTGCTGCTTATGGGGCCTATTGAGGACATGCTCTGTTTGCTTTGGAGGCGGCCGAGCGCTTTCCACAAAGTTACTTTTCTTTCCTCCAGACTGCTTTTTCCCTCGGAGGGCCAGCAAGCAGGAAGTCTGGTGGCTGCCTGGCGGCTCGCAGACTGTCACGAGGGCTGGCAGAAGGGCAGCGGGTAGGAAGCTAAAATAAGCTGTCTAGGGGGGGTGGTGGGTTTGTTTGTTCGCTCTGCAACATGCCTGGGTGCGCAGAGCAAGGATTTGTGTTGGTAGGAAACGGCAGTCACACTGTCCCGTCTCACCCCCTTTCCCCTCCAGCTGATGGCGACTCAGCACCACCAGTTTAGGTATAGAGAATCGTCTGGGGCTTAAATGGTATGACAGATGCTGCAAGGCCTCCGATTAGAATCTGCCTAGTTGTTGCTCTATCCTATTGTAAATTCCACTCTGCTGCTGCCAACGATGCCAGCTATTGCAGCAGCAACTAAGGGCAGCCTGTAGTAACAGTCATGCCACAGCCAGAAACCACCCAGCCTTTCACCTTATTCAGGGATCGACTGTAAAACCGCATTCCTTTGGGGAACATATTGGTGGGTGCTTTTATATTGAAGCCTGAAGCAGGGCCCTAAAAATAAGAAGCTCTACCTCACTCCTGGTACCATATCTTACCCCGATGGAGCAGTCTGTTTTCTGTCTGCTGTCGGGGTGCTGGAGATTTTTCAGTGATGACTTTCCTGTTCCACCTGCACGCTGCTGTTTCCTTTGGCCCAAGCGTACCTCCTTCCTGCTCTCTCAGGTTGTCCTGCCCGGTATATCTGAGCCAACCTGCCATTGTTTTTATTGCTTTACAGAAGAAAATGTCTACCCACACTGGTGTGACGGGTTGTGGAATCAGCCTGGGGGACTCAGTGCAGCAGGACAAACCTGTTCTGGTGGATGGCGGGATTTGGGGGGTTGGAGTGCATTCACCAGCAGCAGCATGATTCACTGTGGTTCCTCTAGGAGGGCTGAAATCCCACGGTTATGGGATCCCACAGCTGAAAGATCCCACAGCTACATGCTGGGGTTCCTTCAAGGCGAAGCAGCAAGGGCTGTAAGAGCTCTGCAGGAAAAGGCAGGGCTGGATCAGACAGAGCTTTTTCTGCTGAACAAGGGTCGATGCTTACGCAGGCACCATGTGCGTGGAAGGACCTGTGCCCATTCACACACTGGGCAGGCAGGGAATGCCACCATGGCAGGACAAGATTTTGTGTAAATGGGAGCAGAGCGAGGAGTTTTTGAAACCCCAAGCCTCTGCCCAAGCAGGAGCTGTGTTGAGTCACATAAAATAGGAAACAGTGTGTGAAACAAGCTCTGACAACTGTCAGGGATTCTTCCTGACCTGACTGTCACATCTGGATGGGGTCCAGCTCCCCTGACTCCAGTCACATGCAAGGAGGTGGCTGTGTCTGAGCAGCTGTCTGTCTGTCTTCTCGTCTCCTTCTGCCTATCCAGGCTCTGACTGTGGCCAAGGTGCCACAGAGACAGGCCGATGGCAGGGACAGGGAGTTAGTGCCAGGATGCCCAGCAACACGAGGGGACTGAATAATAGTGGGGGCTCGAGGGTAGGAGTGTAGGACATTGCACTGTCCCCACTCCCGACAGCCCGTGACCCCGGTATGGGCCACAGGGGGAGCTGCCTTGCTCTGTGCCTCCTGACCCGCCCCCCCGTGCCGAGCCCAGCCTTGCCCTTTGGGGTTTTGTCTCTAGTCACTTCACCACTGCTGGTGCTGCATCTCGGTGGGGAGCTGGACTTGGGAGTGGGGGGGCCTGACCCTGCAGCAGGCTTCACGGCTGGGGTCAGGCCCACCTGCTGTACTGAAGTAACCCCACGGGCTTTTCCATACATTCGCAAGAGCGGGTGCAAGACAGGGTGTAAGACTTTCCCAGGTCCGGAGGTCCCTGCACCCCTGGGGTCCCCACCGGATACAGCCCATCAGCCAAACAACATCTCCAAGAAGCTAGCACAGCCCAAGGCAAAAGGCCGCGAATTCGGCCAGGGGAGAAACGCTGCACTGAGCGAAGGCAGCCTGCCTCGCCGGGCAGGGCACCAGACAAGCCCCGGACCAGGCCCCGGGCACGCAC